GCTTTCTTCAGAGACTTCTGTACGTAGTAATAGAGATGATTTTTTTTTTTTTTTGTCTTGTGAGTTGGCAAAAATATGATGAAAATACTTCTCTTAGTAGCAGACACATTAAATTCAGGTATGTTTTACTGAATGTTGTTAAACCGCTGTACATTTGAAAACATTTGTACCTCCCACTTTGGATGCAAAACTTTTTCTGTGATGTCTGAAATATATCAGCAACCAGTATTAAAGTAAATAATTTTTATATTGAACTTGGATAATTAAGATCTCATGAAAGAGTGTATACTGAGATGAGTCAGGGCTCTTGAGGAGGTTGTCATGTAAAAATAGAAAAATACAGAAACCGGCAAGCAAGATGAAACAAATTCATGTAAAAATAGAACAGGAGTGATACCCTGTTTTAAAAGCAGAATAGTCCATCTCTTTTAGAGAAGTGCAAGGGAAGAGCCAGAATAATTGTTTCCTTTTAAAAAAGGTGACTATTGGTGCTGGTCACTTCTGAATCTTTTTCTGAAGACTGTATAATAAGTTTAAAGAACCTGCAGTATCTGTACAGAGACTTCTGAGCCCATGTCTGTAAAACCTGACAGTTGTCGGGGTGTGAGAATTACATTGTAGTCTGATGGTGAGGGCTGTCAGTCATCAGAGGAAGGGATTGTCCCGTGAGTTGGGCTGAAATCTAAGCCAGTGAAGATGCTGGCTCTGTGAAGTTAGGAATGACAGCATGCTCGTGTCTTGAAGGTGTTTTACATTCTAGTTAATTGACAATTTGATGGGTAGTTTATTTGTAACTAATACTTTTGAGTAAAGTATGTTCCCTTTCACAGCTGTTGCTGTGGAGTTACCAGCTAGATCATCAGTAATTTGAAGGTAGCTCTGAAAAACGGCTTAGGGACTGGTGCAGGCAGAGTTGCTGTAGCTTGACTTGAAACTGAATGAAGCCTATAGCAGTTCTGAAATTGAAAAAGCAAGGACAATGGATGTATATTTGTCTTGTATTATAAAATGCAAAGGGATTTTTTTTTTTCCTTTATCTCCAAGTATTTCACTAGGCTAACAAGTGGTATCAGTTTTGAGTCAGAAATATGGACAAAATGGTTAGAAATGTTTGCATATTGTGACATAGCAGATTGATAATAGTTGTGTGCAAGGACCTTAGCCAAATTCTTTTGTAGAAAGTCAGTATGACTTTGCAGAGACATTGTTATGTTTTGGAATCTGCATAACTCTCACAGGCATGTTGTGTTTCCATGAGATTTTTTTTTTTTTTGTAAGAGGAAGGAAAAGGCACAGTAGTGGACTTATTTATTTTATGAATAAAGTGACACATCTGAAAACTCATCAGAATCATGTGACTTGCCTCAGAATTACAGAAACATTAATAAAAACCTACTAGCATTATGTGGAAGCTGTACGCACCGAAATTTTCTCCTCTTCCTGCTGGAGGAGCCAAGTGATTTCTTTATGTAAGTATAGAGAGATCTCCAAAGTGTGATTGTTTTTATTTTTTTTTCTTTCAATTATCCACTCAAGAAATTCTGCTGACTAGTCCAGTGTTTTAGCAAAATCAGCTTCAGCAGGTTATTAGTGCTGCTTTTGGTGACATGCTGCTGTTCCTCAGCGCAGTGGTTAAAGAGCAAAGAGAAATCCTTTTTCTTATCGTACAGCTCCACTCATTCCATGTGATTATACCATTCTTTTCGTTAGAGGAATATTATTAGATGTAGCAATAGTTTTGAATTGGATTCACTTATAAAGTAGGAAAGGAAAACTTTAAATACTAAGCTGTGGTGTGCGTGTATGGTTTATTGCAGTGTTCATGGGGAAGCAGGAAGCTGCAAGAAGCGAACAAAAGGGGTTCACAGGTGGAAATAGATGCCACGAGGCTACAAGGAATAGCATGGTAGAAGAATTGGCTCGCATGCATCATTTACCCATCTTTTACAAAATGTCATTGAGATGCATTGCATTTTATCTGATCCCTGGCAGTCATCCCAGTCAAGCAGGTGTGCCATTTATCATGGTGCCGATTAAAAAAGACTGAACTGTTCAAGTTAATTAGAAATTTTAATATGTGTGAGAAATTGAACATCGTTTTTTAAAAGATGAACCATGATATCTGCATTTTAAGTTCATAAGCCTAAAAACCTTATATCAACTATATTTTTAGTGTCAAAAATGTTTGCTTATATGTCAAACATTCCTTTTCTGCTCATTCTCCTGTCATTACAAACTTTCTGCAATATTCAATGGGTATGTATTCTGCTGTTCACAAACAACCTCTAAATAGTTTAATTCTCAAGAAAGTGTGTATGGGAAGAAGCTCAGAGAAAATTTCCATTCCCTCCTTCCCACTTCACTCCCTCTCCCCCAAATTGCTAATCCTTTCTACTAAAAATTCTTTTCTAGAAAGTTATCATTGAAATACTTGTAATGGACCTAATGAGAATGAAAGCAGAATAGCTGAGAATGAAGGCAGCATAACTGGGAGCACAAAGAGGTTTAGTTATCTGTTGAGTCTTGTTCTGGTTTTAAAATCTTTGTCTTTGATATCTAATTGACATTTGGTGGGAGATGTCCTAATAAGAATACTGTGGACCTCCAAAGTGAGAACGAGTTCAAGTCTGAAACTGGATGTCAGGTTGCTAAGAGGGATTCCCTTGCATTTTATAATTCTGGTGGAGCAGTGAATAAAAAGTAATACCAGAATATATTTTTTTTTAATGGTAAATTTTCAATTGTACACACACACACACACACCCCCATTTACGAAGTTCTAATAGTGCTTTAACGTAGTTTAACTACATGTAGACCAGAGTGGAGAGAGCTACAGATAAAGCAGTGCATAATAATAATTTTATGCTTTACCTGGGTGAGTCACACACTCCAAATTAAAAGATTGTTTCTATAATCTTAAGTTTTATTTTGCGAAAGAGTAAATAATGCACTTTATGTAAGCTCCAACACTGAAGTAGTCACGTCCTCAAATTCCTTTAAGAACTTCAGATAAGCAGAAACAGAGGTGATTGGTTTCTGTTTGCCATTTTGGTTAGTGTCTTTGAAAGACACTAATAAGATTGCTAGAAATGTATAAAAAGTATACTCACAAAGTTTGTCTTTTATTTTTGCAGGTGTAGTTTTTTATATTTGGAGAAAGTTCTTTTGCTACTTGAATTTAATGAAATCTTTTCCATGTGTGTTTGTAAATATCAAGTGTGTTCTTACTATGGATTTATCACTGGCCAGTCGGTTTCGGAACTGTGCAGTAACCTTGCAAGAGATCCACAGAAGGCTTAGCTTGTGTGGAAAGTTTTTAAATTTATTTTTTTTTTTAACTTTTTAACATTTGTTTAAATATTTTCCAATGTACTCATTTGTCTGCTGAAGCAAAGATTAACAATGAACTTTTGAAAGAATTGTGGATTTTTTTTTTTCTTATTTTGTATAGACATCTGGTAAAGGATCGTGAGCATCACTTGTAAATTTGAAAATCATAATTGGTAAATGCAAGCTACAAATTCACATTCCAAGTATGGGCTTTCTATACTGAAAAATAGTGTTTCTCTGGATGATTTCTTACTCAGAATCGAATATTCTTTAAGTATTTTACCACTTGAGAGTACTCTCATAGAGTGTGTTTTTCAATTAAATTGTAGCTAAAAGTTGAATAGTGAAAGTTGTGTTTGTAGATGCAGTTATAAGCACAAATATGCTAATGACTGGACAAGGAAAAAAGCTAAGTTTTTTTTTAATAGCAAAACAATCAATTATTCTGTACAAATAGCTACAAGTTTAAATGAAATATCATGTTACATTATTATTGTTTAAAATATTTGGCCATCAGGCTTTTGATCCATTTTAAGTGCATTGCTTTGCGTTGTACAGCCCATAGGAAGATACAAATTTTAATTCTCCGCTCCTTTCATACTTTTGCCATTTACTGAGGGTGGAGTTTGAGACTTGATTTGAATAGTTTAGTCAGTGGGTCATTGAGTTAGGCTGGACCATACAAAGGAAATGATACAAAATTAACATTCTAGGCCAAAATGTTGCTTTTAAAACTGGCTGTGATTTACTGAGTTCTGTATTTGCTATGTTTTATGGCTATGGAGTTACTTGGACATCAAAATTTTTCAAATGTTACTAAAAACACCTACAACTTCAGGACAGATTCTTCATCTCTACAGTAAAACATAAATGGAAATTCATGAAGAGGCATTTTGGTAATTCTCCTAATTTTTGTTATTACTTGACAATTGTAGTTGTCACTGGTTATTTGCTTTTCCTTAGGCAAGTCATAATTTAACATGGAAGTGTATCATCAATTCTCGTAACTGTCGACTAGCCAGTTTCATTACTGTGTTTAGATAGATGGTCTTTCTCTGGTAAATACCATCTTGATGGATGTATTCACCTCCATATGGAATTTACAGTCTTTGAAAATGTAAAACAGAATATTCAAGATCCAAATTAATTCAGACACTTGTTTGACAGTAGCGTAGCTGTGTTACTGGGTAATGCCCTAGTTAGGGAGTCTGCCAAACATCAACTTTGAATGATGCCCTGAAATATTTTTCAGTACATGTTTTCAATCTAACGTAAGTGCTACTTGCGTGTTAAAGTGGCAAATGTGTTTTTTTAATTTGTCCACAAATGACTGTGGTGTCCCATATCAGAACTCATTTTTCTTCATCTTTTAGTGTATAGAATCATCTTGGTTTCTCAGTATTTCTCTTTGGACAAAGGCTTTTTCCTTGAATAATACTGTAAGGGTTCGCCTCTCTAAAGCTTGTTTGAGCCTTGAGTGTTCTTTGTAAAAACTGTTTATTTGTTGATGCTTTCTATGTTGACATTTTCCAAGCTCTAATGTTAAACCATAAATAAGCAGTTTACTACCATATGATTGCAGTAGTAGCATATAATCTGCTTTGATGTGCGGTCTTCCAAGTTAAATATTTCTCTATGGAAAAAATATTTATTTTTCTTTTGTTCTACAGCTCCTGGAAGGAAGCTTTGCTAGAGAAGTTAGCCACGAAGTGGATGGACTGATATTTCAGCCTACAGGAGTAAGTAGCGTAAGAATGGATTTTTTCCCCCTTCACTTTCAAATGAAATTCTCACCCTCCTTCCCCACTCATCCTCCCATCTACTACCTAATCTTTGTTTCGGTCAGGATTACTTTGCAGTGTTGGTTCTGATTTTTCCAGTTCCTCAGACTACTTAAATTAAACTAGTTGCGATCTAATTTGTAGTATGTGTGACTTTGGATTAATAAATGGTGGTAGTTTTCAGGAATCAGCTTGTGCGTTTTTGTATGTGTGTACTATGATGTGCTGCTAAATAAGGAAGGATTTTTTCTCACTGCAAGAGTTCTGTGAATCTTTCAGCCATTGATTTGAGCTCTGGGATTATTTTTCTTTCTCATGGATGTTTACACAGTAAAATTTTAGTAACATTTGTGACTTGTGTTCATTGCGATTAAAGTATGATATATTCTCAAGCCATGTCTGCCAGTATAAAGGTATATGACGGGAGTGGGAGAGTTCACCAGAAGAACTGCATACAACCAGAAAAAATACAATAAATGGTTCTCAAGCAGGAAGGGTGGCTTTAAAGACAGTAGCATGGCCTTGTCTATCTTACTGCTGCTCCTGTTGACTCTGATACAATGGATACACTGTAATGTGTATTGTATATTGGTATAGATAGTGACTGTAGCATTATGCATGTTGACTTTTTTCTTAGCTTGTAAAACAAAGAATTGTTTTTGATTATTTCGTATTTGACAGATATTTCTACCCTTACAGTTACTCACAGAAAACATTTGTATTTAGTTTTCCAGATAAAACATTTTTTTTCTGGTCTACTTCCTATATTATAGATCTTAGCATGGGTGATGACACTCCCATCTGGAAATAAGATAAACCTCTGTTCTCTATAGCAAGTTCTACATCAGCTAACTACAAAATAACTGAGCAATTAGACTGCAAATTTTTTTTTAAAAGTATATAGCTATTTCAAATTCAAAGCAAAACTACTAGGGTAAAGAAAATTCATACTTGCATAAGAAGTCCTGGTGATGTCTTAGAATATTGTTAAAATCTAAAGCAATTGTAAAGGCTTCTCAGAACTACTTTCCTGAATATTAGAGGTTAAGCTATGCAGAGTTACCACAGCTAAATTTGAAATTACCTTTTCTACTCGAAATGAAATTACTGGAGAACGTGTCTCTGCTGTTGTTACAGGAAGTTAATCTCTCGTATGTTTTGTGTTTCTAGAACTTGTGTTTTCTGATTTAGCATACTGAGAAATTTATAACCCAACAAAACCCTCATTTTCTTGCATAAATGCTTATAATGGTTTTTCATCTTTAAAATATAGGATATATTTGTTTAATTTAATGTTCAAATTTCAGTATTATTTCAGGATTTATTGAATGTAAGTTTGTTGCATCTGTTATTAAACTGATTTTCCTAGATAAATGTACAGTTTTCTCAATGGCTTTTGTAGTTGAGAAAATATAAATAATATATTTTGAGAAAAAGAAATTGTTGTAGACCTATTAATTGGGAAATAAGTATTAAAGCTGATTAATGGAAAAGGGTAAAGCTGATACAGATAGCTGATGCTGCTTTTTTATTTTATGTGGTATAGAGGACATAAATTAATAGGCAACAATAGAAGGGCAACAGACTATAACAATGCATAAATGATCCCTTGAGAATAGTAACTGAAATAATTTTTCTTTTTGTATTATAGTTGCAGTTACATGTGTGATGTATTACATCTTTTCACAGAGAAACATACCTATTGCTGATTGGGGTAGAGGCCTGAATTTTGGTCATCGTAAGACTTAAAAGACCTTTATAAAACCAGTTTGTCTCAAGTGAAGAGACCATGGCATGTCCAGAAGAAAATAATTCTTAACAACCATTTTTATTGACATATTTGATCTTGCAGAAAAAGAGACAGACAGAAATGATGCTGAGTTTTAGAAGATCAGGGAAATTTAAGAACATCTTTTGGGAGCTCCTGAAGTTTCATGTGTGTTTTGAGGAGAAGAAAACAAAAGTAGACAGGAATTGGAGCAAAACCGCAAAGAAGGATAAAGTGGCAGCAGAGGAGGATGAGTGGAATGTGACCATTTACAGACAGGAAAATTTTGGGGGAAAAATACCCACACTTTTTCCATGCTTTTAATAGTTAAGGCAGAATGCAGAAGTTAATTAATTATTTAATATCAAGAAAGTGGAGTTTATTAGTTTAGTCTGTTTGAAAGTCTTTTCTGTGTTTTTTGGGGTATTTTTGTGGTTTTTTTGGTTGGTTGGTTGGTTTTTTTTTTTTTTCTCTTTCATCTACTCAGAGATGTTCCTCTTGATCTCTGGTCTTAGACACAGGCATCTAGACCTGAGGATATGGATATATTCCCCACTATCTATAGGCAACACTGGTACAGGGAGTCAACACGGATGGAGAAAGAATATTTTGTTGTTTTGAAGTTTGGTTTAATTCTGACTTATAATAAAAATTAAAATACCCAAAATGATTTGTGAAGAGAAATTATGCATTTAGCTTATAAGAGCTCTGGGTTTTCTCACTTTTCTCTTGGGTTTGAAGAGATTTGGCATCAGGTGCCTGTGAATTAGTTCAGTTTTGAGAAATCGGTGTGCTTTAATGAAAAGTGATTTGTGAAAAAGTTTTACTACCGAATCTACAGTTTCAGTTAGATATAATAGGGTTCATTTTCTTCTGTTAGTCTTCCTATCTGAACTCATACTATGAATAGCAAGGTTCTTGTACTGAAGCAGAAATTGTTTTGCACTGTGACTGGTGGTGGTAGAAACATTAAGGAGTGAAGAGATTGTTTTCTGCCTGTGCAGATTAGTTTATTTTGCAAGGTCATGCTAACTGAGCATTATTATTCCTAACTAATTCACCAGTTACTTGAGTTACGTATATTCGTTAGTGCCCAGGGCGTGCAAGTGCTTTAATTCCACGATGACAATGGAAAGGCAATGACAGAGGCCTCCCTTCTCTTCCCCCTTCCTCCCTTTCCAGAGACTGAATGCTTTCACAGATCATGAAAAGAGCATGTTTAGTGGAAGTGATGGAGGTTTTTGCCTCGTTTATAATTTAAGAATGCTTTGTAGGTGATTTGATGTGATGTGTGCTTCATAGTACCCCCCTGCGCATCCCCCGCATTAACCCACCATTCTCTAACAACTCCATGGTGAGAGACAAGTATAAGACAATGTTTTCTTACTATTGTTTCTCTTCTTCCCTTTGTACTCTTCTCCTTTCCTCTTTTCCTTTTCACGCATCTTCTCTATCCAATAGCCCGTTTCCCACATTCCTTTTGATTTCCCTTTTATGTCGCTTCTCCCCAACGCTTCTTTTCCCTGCATCATTTTGTATCCATTTAAGATGCTACCGATATAACTCCCATATGGCTAAGTCAGCTCCATTCCATCTGATCAGCTTTCTGATCCCTCTACATGTAACAGGTTGGCAGAGCAGGGACCGAAGCTAAGTGCTAATTAGGAGGAGTGAAACAGGCCAGCAGGAAACTTCATGGACAGGTATGTCGCCCTGTGATCATGCCCCAGACAATGAGTGAATTAGTTTGCAGGTAAAAGCCAAAAACCTTATTCACAGATACTGAATGCTTGTGTAAAGATTGGAAGCTTTCAATCCTTTTTTCTGAAGGGTTACTTCAAAACAGTGAACAACTTCTTGCATTTGTTTTAGAATACTTGCAGTTTGCCAACCTGTGTATTTTTAATGGAAATCTCAAAAATGGCCTCTTATCTTCTGATGGCAGAATTAGCTCTCTGACCTATGCCCACTCATCAGTGAAATTACCTTTGTTATCTGCCTTGTAAATCATACCTTTGCTAGATATCTCAGACTGTCTAATTTTTATGCTAGCAATCTCTTAATAACTGTCTTTCTGGCTAGAACGATTATTTACCCTTGCTTGGGAAAAGGATGTAGGAATTTTCTTACTTTAGCCACCTAAAAGAAGGCTCGCTGGCCATCAGTTAGGAAGGCCTAAGGACAGTTTTTGACCATCTGTGGAAAGCTTGTATCAGAATTTATTCTCTTCTGTTCCATCTTTTTGCCTCCTGAGCTCTGTGATGTTTTTGCATTGGCTCAGGCTGATTTCTGTTTGGTACTTCTCCGTGCTCTTATTTTGGATGAGGAATAAAGTCCAGTTGTGTGGGTTTGGGATTTTTCTGGGGAAGGAAGAAGGGCAGCTGCTGAGCTCTGTTCTTCTAAGATAAATGTTATTTTAAGGAATGGCTGAATTATTTAACACGTAACTCTCCATACTGAATACTAACAAAAAGCTTAGCCTTTTAAAATGAAAGGAGAATAATGAACAGGTTTTTATTACTGACTAACATTGCGTGAGTTTTTAATATATCTTCCTTCCCCTCCCTTGGTAGACTTAGTGGTGATCTGAAATGCTTGGTTGCCTGTTAATTATTTGTGCTATTCCCATTGTATAATAGGCTGTGTTATTTTCTGTCATTGTAAAAGTTCACAGAATCACTGAAGTTAACACTGAATGAAGTATCTCCAAAAAATACCACCAAATAAAATATCTCCAAAAGGCCATGTTTTGTTTCATTCAGCAGTGCCAGGTTCTCCTAAATAATCCTATATAATTGGTAAGCCTTTTCTTTCACAGTCTATGTTTTATTGAATCCTCTGTGAATTTTTAAACATAGGCGAAGTCTTTGAGGATTTGAGCTGGCATATTGCTGAAACTCAAACATCATTTTTACGAGTGATGGGGCATCAGTTGTTGTTAACTATTTCTATTGCAATAGCAAGTAATGGCTTCAGATATGCTCAGATACAGTCTCAATACCAAAGCTGATCTATAAAGGCTTGGGAAGAATCATATGATAACATAAATTTTTGCTTCTAACAAATATACAAGTTTCTGGATTTAGCGTTCTAGTTTTGTAGTGATTCATACAAGATTTGGAGGCAATGGAATAGACTAGACTATTTCAGTTGGAAGGGACGTACAACGATCACCTAGTCCAACTGCCTG